GGGCGCGCCCCGCTGCTTCTGCTTTGCGACCACGGAGTCGGGAGCGGCCTGTTGACGGAGAGCTGAAGGTCGTTCTGCGGTGGGAGTGGGACGCATCCTCCCTGGGCTGCGTTGCGGGCCGAGCTAGCCCCGAACCGGCCCCCTGCTCCGTCATGGTGTGTCCTGTGTTCGTCCTTTGAGTCGGGGTCTCACTCTGTCGCCCAGGCCGGAGCGCCGCGCGCGGCACGATCGCGGCTCGCCGCGGCTGGACCTCCCGGGCTCCGGCGGTTCTTCCGCCCCAGGCTCCCAAGCAGCTGCCTTGAGGCTTCGTGACGGTGACGATGAGCTTAAACGTAGTAAGAATCTGCAGCGTCCGCAGGAAACAATATTTCTCCAGGGATGGGCTGCGGCTGTAAAACGAGAACCCCCCTCTTTGAGTGATAACTGCTTTCTTGCCGAGAAACTTTGTTCTCTGAGTTCCGAGACTATCACCAACCTCGCTGCCTGAAATTACATCAGAAAGAATGCAGCGTCCCGAACTGGTATGGCGGGTCTGTCCCCACCGAGAAGCAGCTTTGATTTGCAATTCGGCTGCAGAACTTCAGATAAGGATTCTGAGCATACATTTCACGCTTGGATTTTTGTTTCTTTGTTTGTTTATTGTTTTGTTTTGTTTGAGTTGGAGTCTCACTCCGTCGCTCAGGCCGGAGTGCCGTGGCACGAACGCTCCGGTCACCCCAGCGTCGACCTGCCTGCCTCCGGCGATCCTTCTGCCTCGGCCTTCCAAGTAGCGTGCGCTACCGCAGCCGGCTAATTTTTTTTCACGTTTATTGTAGACTCGAGGTCTCGCCAAGTTGCCCGGGCTGGTCTCGAAGCCTCGGGTTCCCAAAGTGCGGGATTACAGGCCGAGCCGGCCGCGCTTATCTTAAGCGAGGCCTTACACAGCATTCTGGCTCCACTTCACGCTCCGCACCCCGGAACACACCTGGGGTTTTCGGCTGATCGGCCTAGACCGGCGGCCTCCCGTTTCCTCTGTTGTTCCTTTGAGAGACAACGGGTTCTCCCTGCGTTGCCCAGGCTGGAGTACAGTGACTATTCGCAGGCTTGACCACTGCGCACTGCGGACTTGAACTCCTGGGCTCAAGCCATCCTCCCGCCGGTCTCCTGAGTAACCGTAGCTTTCAGGAGCGCGTGCCACCACGCCCGGTTTCCCGATTGGTCTTGGGTAAAACCGTGAGAGCGAAACACATAACAAAAGGGCTGTACTCTCTCTCCTCTGTGCCAGCTCAGAAATGTAAAACAAGCGCACGATTCATAGAAGCACAGACATAGCAGTTGGTGTGTAAAGGAGAGGAGAGTGAAGGCCCTACTCTCCCTTCCGTTCCAAAAGTTCACTTAGGGAAACTGTCCTGCGGTGAAGAATAAATCAGATGAACTGACAGGCAAGCGAGCCACGAGTTTAAAACCCGAGAAAGTAGGCCGGGTGCAGTGGCTCAGCCTGTAATCCCAGGCGAGAGGACTGCCTGGGCCCGGGAGTTCGAGACCAGCCCGGGCAAGTCGGTGAGCCCTCGTCTCTACAATAAATCACAGAAACCGGCCGGGCGTGGTGGCGTGCGTCTGTAGTTCCGGCTGCTTGGAAGGCCGAGCGGAAGGATCCGCCCGACAGCCCAGCAGGTCGAGGCTGCGGGGCCGTGAGCGTGCCACCGCCCTCCAGCCTGGGCGACGGAGTGAGACTCCGACTCAAAACAAAAGCAATCAAACCGAAAAACCGAGAAAGATAGCCCAACATTCTTCCCTCCTACCGGCGAGCTCTGCAGACTACACTCCGAGCCTTACACGCAGATCCACACTCTCAAGCACCTTTGTTACAATATCCCTTACAATACATGCTTACGATATGTATATTTAAAGGTAGGTTTGTGTGTGTGTGTGTGTGTGTGTGTGTGTGTGTGTGTATGTGTGTGTCTCCTTTCTTGTGGACACGGAATTTTGCCATTTTCCATGCTAGTCTCGGCTTCCGGCCTCACATCCCCCTGTCTCCCCCCTCGGCCTCCCGAAGCACAAGCGTGAGCCGCCGTGCAGCCCTCAAGCACCTCACAGCCAATGACAGTCTTCCCGAAACTCAGTTGCAGCCTATGGAGATCAGCCCACCGCACACGGTTGGGGGACCTCGTGACACAGTATAGTCTCTAAACTACCTTGTGAAACTACCAGAAATAAAGTTCTTGGAAGAAAGCACATAGGCCTAGGTTTAAGGGGGGAAAAAAAAATTGCAGGGCACGGTTGGCCACGTCTGCCATCCCAGCACTTCGGGAGGCTGAGGCTTAGGCGGCTTGAGCCGAGAAGTTGGAGATCACCCTGTGAAAAAGAGCGAGACCTCCCATCTCAAAAAGCAAGCTAGGGTGGCGAGCACCAGCATATCCCAGCTGCTTCAAAAACTGAACTAAATAAGCGGCGCGCAGGAGTTGGGAGCTCCAATGCCCGAGAAGTTTAATTCCAACTCCTTAATCAAGTGATAAAGGTAAAAACCATAAAGAAACGAGAACGGCCGGGCTCGGTGGCTCAGCCTGTAATCCCGCACCTTTGGGAGGCTGAGGTGAGTGGATGGCCTGAGCCCGCGGGGTCCAGACCCGCCTGGGC